TTTCTTGACTTCTACACCTTTGGTTGTTACGGTTGTTGAAATCCACCTGAAAAATTTCGCAATTAATCTCCATCACCATTAATGTGGCTGCCTTAAAGTAGCAGTAAATCAATGCTACGGATTCACAATACCTCGGCGTCGCCATTGCCAATCTCCTTCAAAGACATCCAGAATCTCTACAGTGAAGAACCTAATGAAAGCTCCTCCTTCGACGTCTTCTTCCATCGCGTCTGCATCGAACAACTCCTAGTCTCAAAATTTTGATGTGACTGCCGCCAGACAACCGCATTTGCCTGTCGATGGAGCTGCAGAGGCGCCAAGATCAGGGTCTCCCTGAGAGGAAGGGATAGAACCGAGAACTGGAGGAAGAAATTAAAGAGGAGCCGGAGATTTCCATTCCGCCTTCTGGTGACACCTACCACGCTCTCCTTTGTGAGGTAACTACTCAAGTTAACGTCCTGAATTCCACCTTCTTTTCTTGGTGTGAAGCCGATCACGCTACTACTAAGCGCGCTACTCACGTCCTTGCTTAACTCGCCAAGAACGATACCGAACTACTTCAGATCTCATGTTATTCGCGCTGATGTTGCTGATTTCGTTTACTAAGCATATCTGTTGAAGGTGATCTCTAGTACTTGAATTTGAGGCTTTTGAGTGTAATTCTTATGATTTTTTGGGAAAGGAAGTTGTGAACGTCATTGTTGAAGGCGGTGCTGTTCTGACTCTGGTGAAGCATCTGTAGGCGCCATCGTTCAGTGAAGGCGATCCTAACGGTGTGACAGTCACTTAACAGTCAATAAACAGTACTGTTAACTTACATTGGACGGAGGGACGACATTGGCATGCTTTTGGATAGTAGAGGGATGACAAGTGAAGTTAATTAATAGTAGAGGGACGACATGAAACCACTCGATAGTAGAAGGTTTAAATTGCACTATTTTTGATAGTAGGGGGACGATAGATGGCATTAACCCACGACAACTTAGGAAAACATACAATGTAATTAATGTACATGGACTTAATATGGGGCAGGTTCAAAATTGAACCAGATCCGTACACGCAATGTTATTCATGATTCGACCAACATGAGGCAGGGGCAGATGCATTAACGTCATTGCTTTGTACGCATTATCTTTCCTTATGAGCCGAAGTTAGCTCAATTTCTTAACCAAAAGCCGCCTTTACTGTAATAGTACCGTTCCTCCTGGCTTTTCTGTTTGTTTTTTAGTATCAACTACGAACTTACGATACACTTGGCCCTCCTGGATTGATTATAAGAAAACAGGACACCAAGCAGGGGAAGTAGCTTACAAATTCATCCTCTTATTTCTTCCATTTTTTCTCAAACCAAATATACACTTAGAATATGACATTTGCATAAACAATTTAATATGCCCAAAAAATAAAAATAAAAATTTAATATGACTTTCAACTAAATTTTCTCTACATGGCTTGAGTTGAGGAAGACAAAGTGGAGTAGGATTTGTTGGTGGATGGTGTTTGATGCTTCCTAAGAGTGTGATTGTCCATGTTCAGGTTTGTGAGTGAATTCATAATCTAGGTGAACAAAGGCACGCTCGATCTCAGGCAGCTGCTCAAGCTTCTCCTGCAGGGCTTCACCAATGTCATGGGCCTCCTGCAAGGGCATCGTTGCTGGAAGTACTATGTCAACCTCCACAAAGTAGTGAGACCCGAAGGTGTAAGCACGGACTGTATCAATATGTCTTATGGCCCTGTGGTGGTTCCAGCACAGGTAGGTGAGTTTCTGAAGATATTCTGGTGTAGCAGATCTTCCAACCAGTGAGTTCACATTTTCCAACACCGTCATTGACCATGTGCGGATGGTGTACAAGGCGAGCTGCAGAAAGTTCAAACTTTTTTTCATAAATATGCAACGGTGCAGTTAAGGAAATGAAGTGTAATTTGTGAATTAGATCTATCAAATTAGTAATGGGTGACTAGGGGAAAGTGTCTAAAATATATGACCAACATTGGTGTTACAATGCATATGGGAAAGCTTAGGTCAAAATCTCACTTGACATGCTCATTTTAAAGGTTTAAAGATTTTACCAGAAGGCAAAGCTAACAACTATACAATGGTAGGACTAACAGACTTACAGTTATCTAAGTTTCTAAAATATTTGCAAAGAAGGAAGTCAAACCAAGTCCCAAATCCCAATCCCACGGCATATCCTCTAAAGTAGACTTGAGTGTTTAAAAAGGTCAAGCAGTTCCTGTATTTGTTCCCTCTCTGTCACCCTTCATGGATTTATCTTTAACCTCTTAATTTTACTACAAAACTCAAGCATCCAAATACCTAGTGACAGAAGGCTTGTATCTAATAAATGTTGATTGTTCTTGTGAGATGAACAGGAATGTCACTTCTTTACTAGGAAATGTGCTGAGATGGCAAAACTAGGCCAGAAAGAACCATTGAGAGAGAGAGAGAGAGAGAGAGAGAGAGAGAGAGAGAGAGAGAGAGAGAGAGAGAGAGATTTACTTACAATGATAGCTCCAACAGGGTCCATCCAATCATCAATGTAATTAGCAAGCAATGCAGCGATGAGGCCAATGAGATTGGTGATAACATCAAAAAAGTGATCCTGGGCATAAGCCTTGACAATCTCATTAGTAAACGTGCGACAATAAAGCATCAAGAGGAATTTCACCACTGTCACTGAAAGCATTATACCAACAACCCATCTCTCTTGCTCTTTAGTCAGGTTGAATTCATTATCCTGAGCAAGCAGAGAAAGTATAAAAAATTGAAATAAATTTCATTTTGTCAAGGCAGTTTTCATCAACGCACAAGTAAAATATAATGTATCTGGAATTTAATTAAAGTCTACTTGCATCAGATATCAACATCTGTATTGACTCCAAAATTATCTGCAGTCCAAGAGTTGCCATGACGGAAGCAAAAACAAGGATGCCCTGAACAACATAAAATAGCTGAGTTTGAGTATATAATGATATTTCAAGTTCCTAAATAGTTCACAATACTTACACATATACCACATTTCCACTTTTTTTTTTTTAATCAACCATGCATTTCCAAATTTTTTGTAAACCAATTGGAGCATAAATCTTAAGGGAAACAATGGATGTTCCCTATCATATAAGTATAACAAATAACAATGACAAAACCAATGACAACCAGTTGGTACCAGCAAATATGTTTTATAAACTAACAAGCGCAATTGCTTTAATCATGAATAGATATAATCAGAAGAATATGACTGCGATAAGAAGACTGACCAATGGCTGCATTCTTTTCTTTCCAATAGGATACTGATATGGATTTGGTGTTTGCATGGAGAATGCAGTAAACCACAGGATGAAGCCTGAGAGAAGATCAAGAAGAGAGTCTAATGTGGATGCAATAATGGCCAATGAGCCACTTCTGATGGATGCATAAACTTTAGCAGCAAAAAGAACCATGTTTGCAATATTGGAAATTCTAATGGCAAATGTTTCACTTTTGGCCAACTTCTCCTGCTCTTCCTGTCAATCATAAGAATAACAGGTTCATTCAATGCTCTACGGGTACATTGGTTTTATGATCTAGAGTAACAAAGGCATGGTGAAGTATAAACCTTTGACATTCCAGGAACAAAACCACGATCAGTTAAGGCATCCATTTCATTAAAACCCTCAAGCACTTCTACCTGCTGCTGATAGTATTCAGCCACGTTATCTTCGGGGCCTGGAGCAAGGAAGAAAAAAAATTTGGATGAAATTAAAATTAGGTTACTTAAGATTGGAAGTGTTCTAGCACTAGAACAATCAAACAGCTCTGTTGCACATGTTTTCTAATTACAGTAAAAATATTGTAGTATCTAAAAAAGAAAGATGTTAATTATTATTAATTACACTTCTTTAATACCAGAAAAATAATACTCCATAACATTTATACATAAAAAAAAAAAAAAGATTATCATTCGAGAAGCAAAGAAACATACTTAAACTCCCCTGGTATACTTAA